CATATTCCATAGCCTTGCGTGTTGATCATCGTTTTGAGGCTCAGAGCAACCCTGCTCAAGGAAGTTGTCCCGTTGCTGGACCTCAATTCAAGCCCCGCCAATATGAAACAAAGATTGAAAAGGAACCATGGTTCCACAACCTCCAGCAACCGTTGTTTTGAGAGCGTCCCCTCATGGGGGGTGGGTTATTGAAACCCACAAAATGCACCAAGTTCAGCCCCACAAGTGAGAATTACGCCATTGAGGTAGATTGAGATTCAATAGTTTGCGGACAATGCACTTTTAGTGCTGTGGACCTTGGATATTATGCCCAACATTGTCTGTTGCAAGCAGGCTTTATCAGACAATTGGACCTTGAAAATTGGCCAAGAATTGACTATCAGACAGTGTTAACGATTGGCCAGTCACCAAAAGTGTCTTGTCTATTACCAGAGTAGCTGCAATTCTCTTAGCATCTTTCTTGTCATTCCTGTTGCAGTGTTTAGCTTTGGAACTGAATTAGAATTCAAATAGAATCCTATGTGGAAAGACAAGTTGGTCGTTTATTCTGAATTGCCTGCCCCTTAAACGAAACCAAGATAAACTCAAAGGAAATGCAATTTCAGTTCTATTGGTTTACAAGGTTTAGATTGCACCGCTTTCAGTTGAATCATATCTTGATTAGCGTTCAAGTTGACAGAATATGTTGAATTAGAACTTAAATGGGTGTCCCTTCCCAGGTAAGATTGTAATTGGGAATTTAATACGGAAAGGGAAGCTTGTTGTTTCTTCTAGTTTGCAAGCCTCTGAATAAAAAAGAAGAAAAAAACACATGGAAAAAGCTGCGTTCATTACAATTTGTTTGCATGGTTGCGAGGCTATACTTGCATTCAAATTGGATTTCGATCAGACTTCACTTCATTTTCTTGAATTAGATGTTAGTCGGCACTTCCTTCCAAGCAAGATTCCAATTAGAAGTTAGTTAGAACCTTGAATTTAACTGTTAGTTTTGGATGTGTAATGGGATCTTATCCAAATATGTTTTCAGGTAGAATTTAGTTGTATATTTGTTTTATTATTATTATGTATATTGTAAACAGGAATTCCTTCCAAATCTAAATGGGAATTTCATGTGTAAGACTAGAACTTAGCAAGGAAAGACAAGCTTGTAGTTTCGTCCAACTGATTCAATTATAGTTTTTGTTTTGAATCAGAATTAAGATAGGAGTTCCTTCCAAGTATCTAGGATTCTAATTAGACTTTTTCTGTGATCTGGATAATATGGTAAGGAAAAACAAGCTGGCTACTGCTTTCAGTTCATTTGAATAGAATTCGGTTGCGGTTGGCAGGTGAAATGCCCAGGCCGCAATGGCAAATGTCTCCTTCTTGCGGATTTTTGTTTGTTCTTGCTGACCCCAACCTCAAAACAAACAAAAAATGAGAAAACTAAACTAAAACCCAAAAGAAAAGAATCAGACCCGATGTATCCATGCTGGCTCAGTTAGGGTCTGACATTTTGAATGTGTTGTGTGTTTGTGGCTTTCTCGAGTTTTTTTTGGAAAAGCGCAAAAAGAAACCTCGAGAAAACCAAAAAACATCAGACCCCATGTATCCGGGCTGGCTGAGTGAGGCTCTGACATTTTTGTGTGTGTGCGTGTGTTTTCTTGAGTTTGTTTTTGGTTTTGTGGAAAAGTGCAAAAAAGCTCGAAACGTACTTTTTTTTTTAAAAAAAAAAAAAAAGAGACCCTTTGTATCCATGATGGCTGAGTTAGGGTCGACACCATGTGAGGCGAGCGGCACTTGGTAAGAAGCTGGTCAAAACCGCCCTCCGTCAAAGCACGACCTCGGGCGAACGCGAGGTATGCTATGGAGAACTGAAGTGAATAGTAATGTATCTGACCTGTAATTCAAATTGCGGTAAGATTGGCTAACCCATGTTGAGGTCGGCTTCGTCTGCCAGTCTCTACCTCCCTTCGCAATGGTTCTAAGCGTGAAATACCTCTACTACTGCTGATGCCAGACTGGATTCAAACTGAAGGAGCACCGCCCTCCAGCTGAAACGTGACTCCTCGCTGAAGCTCTCTCCCTCTCTCTCTCTCTCCATCTCTCTTTCTCTCTGTCGCTTTCTCTCTCTGACTGAGCTCCCAATTGGCGGTAACTTCTCTCACTATGAAGTCGATGTCTGTTCTGCATCATATACACAGAGCTTGACGTGCACTCCTGTGTCTGATGCCCCCACTCAAAGCGTCTGGCGCCGCATTGGATGTTAGCGCCCATCCCTGTGGTTGGCACACGACCAACCCGCAACAAAGTCAACCCCAGGCAACAAACACAGTATGTGCGGCTGTTCTCTTTGCGCGTCTTTGGGGGCAGGTAATGCTACCGCTAAGAAAGGCATAGCCAATTAGAGTGGCCGACGTGACTGGGTACTGCAAAGAAGCCTGGCCATTTCGACCATCAAGAGCTGATGCGGATCTCCTTTGTCACTGGTTGCTTTTGGATTTGTTTTGCTTGTCGGAAAATTCCGGCGACTGAGACTAGACAAATCATTTGTCCATCTTGCGGATTTAAAACCCTGCGTCTTGAAACCTGTCCTGAGCCCCCCGACAAGCATCCATGCACTCTTGGAGACTTGCACGCTTCTGGGACATGAGGTCCAAAGCTATCTCCTTGCCATCCAGCTTGGGACTTTGGCACAAGAATCAAAAGCGCCCCTTCAGGAGCCTGAAACGGGTTGCAACCAACCCCCCCACGCCCACCCCCACCCCACCCCCCCACCCCCCCACCCCCGGCTTTTTGGGGGTAGAAAGCCCAACTTGCACACACACACACACACACACACACATTCCGAACGAGAAACCTGTCCTGCAGCTCCTTCTCCTTTGCCTCGGACTCCTGGAGGACGCCGACCATCCATTCAACACCCTACGGAAGAACAAAATACAGAAGGCTTAGTTCAGGCCGTCAAAAACACGTTAAGCTTGGTGTTGCGGCCATTCCAACCTCACTGGGGGAGTGTTGAGTGGACCTCATGTCAAGAGGCCTGTCTGTGTTCTGTTGATTGTCAAAACCTGCTTCAAAGGACTTGGAATGAAAGAAACGGAAGCTCAGAATAGCTGGATATTTTGGGAAACAAGCACAAACACAAACACAAACACATATATATATATATAAGTAAACAAACAAACAAACAAACAAACAAATAAACAAACAAACCGACCGCGCAAACACAACACACATGCCACATACACATATATTGATCCACTGTTTTGCATGATTACCTCTTCAACTAAATCGTTCCAATGGATGTTCCTGTGCACCTAATTTTGAGCGGTGCCTTTAATACATTCCCTTTTGAAGTCCTGAAATCCTGCTTGAGCACTACACATACATGTGTTTACACATTGCATCGATACAACATGTCCATGAATACATATATATATATATATATATCTAATGTGTGTGCCGTGCGTGGTCTGTGTGTGTACATGCAAATCTGCGTGTATGTGTGTGTGTGAAGAAGAGCGAGGAAAAGGAAGCGAAAGAGAGAGACAGAGAGAGAGAGAGAGTAGGATAGGAAAAGGAAGCAAGTTCAACATGAAGAAAACAGAACAAACAAAAACATGGACCCATGAATCCACAATGTAGAGCAATTAGAAGCAAAAACATTGGGCAGCTTTGCGTGTTTTTGTTTACTGAGGGAGGGAGAAAAAAAACGACAAACTGCCAGAAGAAAAAGCCTTCTTTTATGTTTTACTCTTCCACTTTTCACGGACCAAACTTGCTTGTTGAATACTTGCTTGATTTTACTTGCTGGGAGAAAGCAAAAAGCAAAAGTGCCAAAAAATAGATTGCTCTTTTTTTTTGCAGAGTAGTTGTGTCACTGTACTGGTTCTACCAGGCCAATGAAAGACTAGGGTTTCTTTGGGGGGCAGGGGGGATACCATAGATATATACAAAAAATGTATATGACAGGGGGGCCGAAAAAAAAAAATCAATCACCACATCGCAGGAGATGCGGGTGAAGTGCACCTTTGAGCAGGACCCAATTGAGCCGCTGTGCTTCCTTAGGGGCATAAGCGGGGGAATTATGATACTCGCCCATCCACAAACATGGCACCTCGCAGGGGGGGGTGGAAGACCGGCTTCCTTTAAAAGGGAACCCTGTGGATGGTTCCATGTTGCTCGAAATGAGCCCGAAGAAGGGAACCTTCATGGGCAAACCCCGGGCAAAAGATCATCCCCCGCACAACTCGAACACCCATATACCATCCTATACCTTCTTGATAAATCGAGGCCGCCCAAGGATAACAAGCTTTCGGGCATGTTGCTTCTCATTTCCTCATTCGCATAGCCGCAAAATGCATTACTCCTTCCTGGAACAGTTCATGGTTACTGGAGGGCTACTTGGCAATTGTGCTCCTCTCCCTGTAGGCATCAAGCGTTTAATCAAAACCACAAGTCATTGTCACATATCTTCCCCTCCAAGGGTTGATCACGACCCCAGCATCCCAGCAAATCACAGAATGACTGCCTGTGCGACTGTTGAAGACAACGAGCACCCAGCCCCCCACAGCGACGCAAGTTCCTTGGCCTGGCGCGACAGCACCTGCACCAGCACGTTCAACGAGCGCGCGCGGCCTCGGTAGCTCTCTGGGGGGTTATGTTGAGAGACAGCGGCTGCTAGACCATGTGCAAGGGCGCTGAGCCTCGCTTGAAAGCGCGCAAATGGCAAAGATTGGTCTGTTCAATGACTTGCGACTTGCACAGAAGAGCGCCCAAAGCAATGCAAACCTGACGAACAAAATGGGGTCTCAGAAAACTCGAGGTGCGCAACTTTCTGCTGAGTAGGACGAACCAGAGCTGGCAAATTGGAAGCTGAGAAGGATCTGAGCATAAGATATGTTCCAGCTTGTTGTTGAGGGGAACCACCTTACCTATGACATCTCACAAGGCATTCCAGGCCTCCCAGTCTTTCGTAGGCCGATAGCAACCATCTTGTAGGTTTCGACTTCAAACACATCCTCCGTGAGTGAAACCGGGCCATTCTGGAAGCACCATTGGATGAAAGCGGAACCCTCTCGACGTGTTCCACTGTGAGGATCTGTGCGTGGGAGAACCATGCCGCACGCCAGCTCAAGGCACGTGCAAACTGCCACGGCTGTCAACAACCTGCCGCACTAGTCCCAGCAACTACATTGGATAAGTTCAAGTCCTAGGCTACTCATTAACAAAAAAAGAAAGCTCGCAAAGCCCCCTATTGGACCAGCAGGTGACAGACGTTAGCCGCAACAGCGCGACTTGGCTGCTTTTCCCACCTGCAAAATTCTTGCTCAATTGGGGGCAGCCCCGCCGCAACACGGCCTTCCCAAGACCCCTTTGACAGGGTTGCTGCCACACAAGGGAGAAGAAAAATTGGTGAAAGGAAACCAAAGGAACCCGGAGTACCTAACCAATGTTCTGGTGATTTGGAGAAACCCTTCAGCTCGAACGAAACAACCAGTTTCGGTTGAAATTCTGAACCAAGGCTCCCAGCTCGCCCCCGAACGGCGCCCCGGCCTGCTGTCTCCCCCAGCTCCAAGCCGCACGCCGTGCGAACTGCGCCTTCGGCTGCCTCAAAGTCCTCAGCCACCTCCAGGAGGCCTCGGAAAGGAAAATTGAGGGCCGGCATTCTGAAAAGGGGCGAATTCCTAGTTGGTGTCCTTGTGGCTTTTGGCTTCCCCGTACCCTCCAAGGCCTATTTTGAGCGACACATAATTGTGGAGCGTGCCCTTTTCAGGTTGGTTCAAAGGGAAACCATGACCTCCACGAGGGCGCGTTCAACATCATCGGAAGCCTAAGAAACCTTGCACAGGAATCAGGACGACCTTCTCGAATCCGCCGAAAGGTAAAGCAACCTATATAAAGTTCTATCCAGATATGTGTGCCATATTTGGTGTTGACTGAAAATTTGGCCGGAACTGGGGATCCAAAACCACGTGCGTTCTCCATGTCGATGATCTTTGAAAACAAACACCGTGTGCTCGCCGTGTTTTCCCGCAGGCGTAAATCAAACTCCAGGTCGACAAGAGCGGAAATCAACATCCACTGGGTCACCCCCACTGCCACTTCTTTGCTTGAAAATCACGACTCCGAGCAGATTTCACTCACTGGTTTCCCGACCTTAAGGGGTGTTTTGTGGAATCACCAGTTGCTGACTCGCTCGCTTGGTCGCTTTGCTTGGCTCGCTGTGAAAGTCCGAAATTAAAAGAAATCCAGAATAGAAAAAATCCTCATGGAAAAGCTAATGCTCATGTCAGATTGTCCAAAGAAGAAAAAACCACCGGGTCCCTTCGGCCGAGCTGCACAGGGCCTTCTGCCGCAGCAGCTCGGCACGGGACACGGACGCAGCGCCGGGCACCTCACCTGCACATGTTACGTGCCTTGGTCACTTTTCCGGTTTAGCACAACCCGAAAGCAACGTGGTCTGTTTATGTATGTATATATATATATATATGCTGCGACAACCTTGCCACGGCAACATGATACCCTAAATCCAAACAATGAAAATGGTTGCAAATACATAAGTGTCCACATGGACGCTCCGTGAGGTACTCTGTTACATGATTCTGATTGAGCCTCTCAGAAAGATTACACCCGCCCAGCTCATCAACCATGATTGACAATTTTGGGAGCCCGTTCACCTTCGAACGTGCGGTCAGAGGGGCATCGCGATGAATCTCGGAGACACTGAACCAAACAGCAAACGCTTCATCAGTCAGGCCAGCCGCTGGCTTGGCGTGTGCTCTTTGATCTGGCCAGATGAAAACACGCGACCTCACTGGGGGCCCTTGCGGCCCCTTCACGATACGCAGCGCAGAGGTCCTCTAAATCAGCCGAGTGAATGTGAGTTGCTTACCTCGCCCAGATGTATCCCTGGCACCCTGCCCAACCGATGAGTCTTCCTACATTGCAGGAGTTCTAGGACCCTATCAGCAAGCGCTCCGTTGACCATGAAAACTCCCGCAAGGGAAGTAAACCAAAGGCGAGCGTACTCTTTGGGGAACCCTATCATGGGGTCTGCTTGCCGTAAGGAAAACCATCTTGCAAAGGCGATGTTCCAAATTGCCAAGAGGCTGCCCCAAGAAAGTGTGAAGTAGAAAATAAGCTGGAAAAGGTGAAAAGTCAGCTGGTAGAGGAAAAAAGCTGTATTCAACTTTCTCTCAAGGTGTCTCCCATATCCGCAGAAAGGCCAAGCCCACGCCCTTCCCATCCGCCAAATATCCATACTGCGCGCCTGCAGGCTCCAGTCGGGCCAAGAGCTCCAGGGCGGCAGACAGCTCACCTGTTACTTCTCCTTTTTTGTGGTCTACTGTCCAGAAAGGCTTTGGGGGGGATGGCTCCCCTCTCGTCCACGGATGAACCTGTTGATCAAAACGCCAAGAACTGGTGCCTTGCGGTTCCCTGAAGCCTGACAGGTCCCGGGTTTGGACCATGGGTTCCATGCAAGGGTAGCAACACTGACTTGATTAGCTGATGGCACTGAGTTGCCGACGGGTTGACTTCTGGCTGAATAACGGAGTGTGGAAGAGGCTGTCTGGCAGTCTGGGGGCTGTCTGGCAAAACCAGGCTGAAAGTAGTTCAAACACTGATCAAAACGGGCCCCCGGATTCAGTGGTTCAAAGGGAACGGAAGCAAGCAGCTGTTTGAGCGAAGTGACAAGTGACGACAAAAACTGCGTCACCGATTTTAAAGGTGGATTACCGGCAAAATTGCTGCAACGCGGGATATGATCCAAAGGGAACCACTTGCCGAGGCACTTGCCTGCCAAACATCAAAGCGACAGAAGTCAGGAACTCAAAATCGTTTAATTTGCTGCCATGTTCTTTTCAACCACCCGCCACATCGTAGATTGCGACATGTGGGTCTGATTCAACTGGTGGACCCACCAAAATGGGCGGTGTCCTGTTGGATTCTCTTTAAACCCAGCCCAGACAGGGGTCCCTTACATGATGCCCGTGTCGACCCACAGTTGAGAGTTGCGGAATCCTTTGTGAACCTTCGGCATAGCAGGATTGGGAACTCTAAGTGTGTTTCAGGGTCAGGGCCAACCTCCCCCTCTACATCCAAGAGATCCTGAGACTGTGAAGCCGTTGGGGGTTGAGGGCGGAACCTAGCCGATTTCTTGTAGGTGCGCGGCTGAAAGTGTACAACTCACTTGCAACCACAGCACCTTGAAATGAACAGGTTTGCCGACGTTTGGAACTGGCGACTGAAACAGCCCTCTAGAAGTGCGAAAACTCTCCGAACAGCAAGCAAAGGATAGTTCATGAAACATAATGAGCCAACGAATTATCAGACTCGAACAACATACAAAGAAACTTAGAGACAACCCCCCGCCTTCTCCTGCAAGGTTGGACAGCGGGAACCCCCCAAAGGCGCTCAGCCAAGGAAAAGAGCGAAAGAAACAAAAACCTCTGTGCCGAAGCCCAAAACCATCCCCATCGCTCTCCATGGGCAAGTTTTCGTGTGGCCTCGCTGCCGCAAATGGGCCGCAGCCTCCACACCAGGCTGCAGCATGGCGGAACTGCGAGGAAAAGTGCGGTGTCACATGTGGTGGCGTTGCGTTGCACCACCAACTGGTTTGGTCCAAAAAACCTGACAGGTCCCTGGTTATCATTCAGCTGGCTTCCATGCTAGGGTAAGACTGTTGACTTCTTGATGGCTGGTCCCAGCAATGGATGAGCTGTTGAATGGATTCTAACAAATGGGTTCATTTCAGTTGATCGGTGTTTGGTGCAAGCGATCGGAGGCCATTGATTGAAACGCTTTGTCCCTGACATGCGGTAGCAACACTGACTTCTGGATGGCGACCCTCTTTCCATGAAAGGTGCAAAGGGGCCGAACCCCAAAAGAAAAGCTTTCATCTCTTAAATCCCCAAGCTTCGAAAAACTACTCTCCTCCTGAAAAGGCCTGTCCACTTCCATGGGCATTAAGAGGGTACCCAAGTTGTCAAGGACTTGGGCCGAGGATGTATCAATATGACCCCCGATTTGGGTTTATGGAATTGTGGTCGCCGGTCATCCACCTAGTTCCTTCCCCATCGGCCGCTTCAAGCCTTCAACAGCAGGCGCCGCAATTTCGAATCCGACCTGATTTTCTGAGATTCCGCCAGTTCCCGAATCCAAAGCCTTGTTGGGAGGCCCAACAAGCACGGGTGTTGGTTTGACTGGTGCTTCTCAAACTTGGGGACGCCGGGCGGTTGGTTCACTTTCAGTCTCCCTTCCAAATTACTCATAAAAAAGGAGGAAGAAAACAAAAACGGGCCAAAAGAAAAAGAACGTGCCCAGATCTTCCAAATACCACTTAGAAGCAACGCCCTCGCCCTTTTCCACCCCCAGCCAACCCCATCGGACCTCATGGTGGCTGCCTCGACGAAAGCCTCCTGCGCCTGCCGAGACAAACACGCGGATGCCCGGTTTGGTCTCATCCTCGAAATCTAAGTTGGGATGGAGTATTCAATATATTCAATGTTAGCCATCTTATGAATATGTGCCCAAATGGGTGTACCCAAAAAGCAGTGGTTGCCCCATTTGGTGTTGATCCTTCTAGCCACCCCGAAAAAGGGTTCCCTCAAAGAAAGACGCGCCTAGGTGTGTAAACCTCAGATTGGTGCACTATGGATCGTTTCAGTCTGTGGTTGAAGGCCACGCTGATCCCAGTTGTGTGGTTTGTGTGTAATCTGCAGAAAAGTTGAGGGGTCCGATGTATAAAAAGATATGAAAACGCGGAAAAGAAGTCTCAAAAGTCTTGGACCCCCAGCCACCCATGGAGATTTCGGAGTTTTAGAGTTGAGAGCTATGAGTGGATTTTGAGGCTTGGCGTTTACCACTGGTTTTGGGTGCCAAGGTGTTGGTTCTAGCACTATGGCGGTGGGTTTGGCCCACTCAGGTGTTTTGACACGGAACAAATGCTTGCATCCCCAAACTCCCCAAGTCGTTGCTCCCCACCATGTGTTTCCCAAACATGAAGAAAAGTGGTCATGTGCTTAAAGACCTTTGTTTGCCAAGAGCAATGCGAACAAAGGTTTCAGCTATGCCCAGCGGAAATTGCAGGTACCGCCAAGTAGGTGGCCCCATGGCAACTAGCTTCTTCCCTGGATCGAAACGAAACTCCAAACCATGTGAGGATGCTTCCCTTTGACACCTCTCATTTTGTTGGGAAGACCTGGCTTTCAACTGGGGAACCGTAACACCAGCTTCAAAGGGATCCGAGTTGACCAACTCGCAATGGTTCGAATGACCGAGCCTCCTTCGCTTCCCCGCTATGTAGCAGGGCCATGGCTGTCCACAGCCTCAGAACACAATGTGAAAATACAAAAAAAATGCAAACAAACGGCGGAAACGAGCGCATGTGGTTGATCATCAGGAATATACCCTTTGAGCGGGCCTAAATGATCAGCACCCAGGCAGTTGGGACTCGCAAACCAGGTCTTGAACACGCTTCTTTCGCAAACCGGGCCTCGGGGGTCTTTCGGAACAACAGCTGGTCCCAGTTCTGCTGGGTGTTTGGCCCTGGAAAATTCCTGTGGCAAATGGAGTTGTCGAACCTGAACCACAGCGAAGTTTCGTTGCGTTACCACAGGCTCACGAGTTCAAAACACAGCGGAGATTTCCCCAAAAGTTGCTTCTTGTGTTCTGTTCTCCAAGGGGGGCCACACATACTTCTGGCACCAACTCCCCCTGTACATATATACACTGTCCAAATACATTGTGAGCCCAGGGGCATGCGATTGATCTCTTGAGTTTACACCGCGGAAGGATGCAGCTTCAAGCTGCCTGGGCCCAGATGTGCGTCCAAGGAAGGCCAAAACGCCAAGCAACACAGAAGAAGCTACTGTGAAATCCTCTGCAAAAAAGCCATCCATGAGCAGCACGGTTGACGTCCAGTGGGAGAAAATATTGGGCACCCGTTTTGTTGATAGATTTTTGCCTCCACCAGACGGATCGCGAAAATGGGCGCCACCGGATAGGCTTTGCACGAAGAGACGAAGAGACGAAGGAACGAGGAAAAAGGAAAGACACCCACTCACTCATATCATGTCATCTCTTCCACACCATTCAATCTCAGATACAGATAGGTGTGGAATGAGAATGGAAATAAGTGGCGAGTGTTGGATGGAGGCATTTCCCGTCTGTTAATGATGGAAATTGGCAAGCCTCCAGCATATTGTCGTTACAGCGGGTTAATCTCTGAGACTCTAGAACCCTTTTCCTCCTCCTCCTCCTAACCCTTCCTACGTCAGGAGCTGGTAGAGGGTGGAGGAGGGTGAAAAGATGGGTCTCCCTGTCTAGCCCATGTGCTTCCAGGTCGTGCATTGGAGAGAACGGGTTCTGCCAGGTCACCGAATCTGCGCAGAGGCTTGGCCCTGCGAGAGAAGCTGGGAGCAGTGTAGTGATCAAAGGGGAAACGTACAGGGCCACCTTCAGATCACTACCATGCAAACTTTTGGGGGAGGCATCCTAATTTTGCTGACCTATTGACCTCCTAAGACCTAGAACAGTTGGGGAGTTGCCAAACTGATCGGCCATTGAACAGGATTCGCAACAGCCATATGTTTGACCACTGGAATTTGCTTTGTCCTTCGGCAACATGCGTGCCAACCACCGAGCAACAAAAAAAATAAACGCATCGCCGGGGCCTCTGCCAAGCACATACTGAGTCACCACTGCAAGAAGTTTCGGTGCAGTTCAAAGAGCCCAAACGCAAGAAGCAACGGCTGCCGGCTAAGAGTTGGCTGTTGAATTATGAGGTTCTTAAGGGGGGGATGTAAGAGGGGGGGGGGGGTAAATGGGGGTGGACTGAGCCTCGGGAAGTCCAGGGTTCAAATCCTGGCTCAACCCTCATCCCCTTTGCCCGCCCACTAGTCTCTTCGCAAAGCACTCCGTCCTTTGCTTGTCTTTTTTAATGCAACCCAAGTTAAGCTGATTGGTCCCATTCCTATTCTCGAGGCTTCCCCAGGCTTCCCTAAGGCTCCCTAAGCCCTAAGCTTCCCTTCCCTAAGCTTCTCTGAGGCTCCCCCAGCTTCCCCAAGTCTCCCTAAGCTCCCCCAAGCCTCCCAATAATTTTTCAGAGTTTCCCCAAGCTTCCCTTTCCCTCCCCTTCAAACTGCATTCCCGCTGAATTCTGGGTTGGCCAGCAGCGCTCGCAGCTGAGGGGGTCAAGCCATCGTTCATCCCAACCCAACCTAGCCACAGTCAAAGCGGAAGCGCGGGAGCTTAAGGAAGCCTAAGATTTTTTAGGGGCCTATAGAGGTTTTTGGGGAGGGAGTGCTAGGGTTGGCTAAGGAGCTCTAGGAAGTGCTGGGGAAGCTTGTACTTATTTAGGGGTTTCCAACTACCCCCTCCCTTTACACCCCCCTCCCTTAAGAACCCCATAATTGAAGCATGGGCAATGTCCAATGGCTGCTCGGTCCCTTCTGAGACACAGGGACCAAAGAAAACAAAAACTCGAGGAGCTTCCTTATAAGCTCCTCATTTTGGAACACCCAACCATCCACCGCTCCTAGCATCATACAGCACTTTAGATGCCTCGGCTCATGCATTCTTCAAACAATTCGCTTGATACATTGGGACATACCTGAAGCAAAGGACGACGTGCACCTAGAACCTGGTTTGCTCCCCAAATGGACTGATCCAGGAAAACCTGGTCAGCAGTCGCCGTTGGCTGGCTCCATTGTCGACTTGCGGTTGTCCGTACTGCACGGGCATTGAGCTGGTTGGGCTGACAGGAGGCTTACAAAACCCAGAGCCGCAGCCTTTCGATCGCTCGCTCGAGTTTTGATTGATCCACGCGTTCCAACATGGCTCGCGGGCTCGCACTTGTCGACTGTATGCCGACTGCACGTGAGACTAAAACAATTGGGAGGACAAAATGGTCTTGCCAAGTCCCGGGCAGAATGACCCGGCGGAAGCCAACTCCTCCCCTTGAACCTGCCAAGTCAGCCAGGTTTTGCTCTGGGCGGACTGACCGTGCTAATTACTGGAACTCTTGCTGGTCAAGGAAAATACAAATCCGAAAAGGCAAAGGGCAAAAATGCTGTGCTAGGTATTTACTTTTCTTCCCACTCGCCCAACATATTGTGGTCTGTGCCATCTAAACTTAACCTAGCTGGGCAGGACGAGGCAGCTCTTCAGAAAAGTATCGATGCAGGGGAGATTCAGCCGTTGCAGATTCCTTCAGAAAGCACTCTTCTTATACCTGCACATTCAGAAACATCCTGAGATCCTTGACCCCCAGGAAGCTCTTGCACACGTCGTACAAGAAGAACTGGCCGCTGATGATGCAGGCGGCCCACACAGACCGGGAGCCCAGGCCCGCGAAGAAGCCGCCCACACCCTCGGACTCGAAGATCTCCTTGGCGGTGTCCAAGAAGTTGGCCCGGCCCTCCTTCCTGCGAAGCCCCACGCAACAAACACTCAGATCGGCGTGGAACCCAAGCACCATTTGAGGAATCTCCACTTGAACAAAACAACTCTTTGGGTTCCATGTTCATCTAGGGGAGAAGGTCACTCAGCAGAGAAAATAGGTAAGACAAAGCTGCGGTTCGGAGAATAGCCCGAGATCCATCCTTGAGACTTCATCAGGGGATCCCGGTAGCGCAGCAGGTGACCGGAAAGCCCTATTCTCGCCAACCCTGGAAGGGAACCGCCCAAAATCCGGTTTCTGCAAGTACCTAAACTGGGTGAGTGGGAAGACCAAGTCTAATTCAGAGCCGTGCGTGTGTACATATGTATATATATATATATATATATATTTATGTATCGCACAAACAAACTGAAACTCACACACCTCTGTGTGTGTGTGTGTGTGCATGCACGACATTCCGCCTTTTGGCCCTCGAGAACTAAAAGAAGAGACGGCAATCCTACTGTATTTAGGAGACTTGAAATTAGAGATTCCCCTCATCAGGCGCCCCCTAGTGGGGAGGGGAGAGTCAAGGTTGGTAAAAACATCCGTCCCAGCGGCTGATTCATGCGTGTCAGCACCGTGTCTGCAGGCTGCGACACGATGGAGGACACCACTCCAGCAACCGCCCCAGAGAAAAGGGAAACCAGCAGTTGAGTTTCCATTCTTTCGGCCAGGACCGGCTGAAGATCAAAAACAAAATCCGCGAAGTAATCGAAGACCAGGAATTTCCTGGGCGCGGATTGCGGTCGTGCGGACCCAAAGGTCACCTCCAAACCCACATGTCTAACCCAAATCCGCTGATGTGACGTCTGCTATTCGAGAGCGGCGCCTGGGAATCACAGTCGAAGGTCAAAAGGTTGACCTAAAGGACCTCTGAATGGCTGCTTTTGTTGGCCTCCCTCCCTCCTGGGAAGCCAACGGATGTGAAAGCACATGGCCAGGGAATCCGTTCCCCATGAACTGGTGACAAGGACCCTGGAAGTTGGACACTGAGCTGGAGCACCCAACTCCCCCGTACCTCTGAAAAGAAACAGGTTTTGATGCAGTGACCACCGGGCAACTGAGGTTGTCCCTTTCCTCGGGAGCTGGCCTGCGGTCCGAATTCTCTCCGTCCGAGCAGCATCATGCCGAATAAAACTTGTCGCACCAGCAGCGTGCTGAGCCCATCGTACAAGATCCCAAGCCCGTCCCGCTCCGAGATGAGCTGCACCACCTCGGAAGCTGCGAGGGGATGGATGACCAAAACCAGTAAGTAACATTGCCATTTGGGCATGAATCGGAGGGTTCTTTGACGGGTGTGTGCTCCTTTGGTAGCTCTCTCGGTATGACCTCTGTGTGGGCAAATCTTTGCCTTCTCCCTTGTCACTGCCCCTTTGACCTCTAGTGTTGCACGCGAGCCAAAGGGGGCTTTTTCGCCGGAGCCTGGCGTTTTGTAACCAGTTCAGGGGTTGGCAACTCGATTCGCCATGTGCCTCGAGGAGCCCCAGTTCACAAAAAGGAACCTCCCTGCGTTGCGAGTGACCCACCCACAATCCTTTTGCTGAACACAGAGAGAAACAATTGTTGAGTTCTTGTCTGCTTTTTGGCCACATCTCAAGATGTGTGACTCCCTTCCGCTCTCGTTTAAGAAAGCCGGATGCAGAACTTCCAATCCAGCAGCATCTTGCCCTTCTCAACTTCGGCTTCCACCCGCAGCCCCGGAAAAAAGTCAAGATCCCCTCTGTTTTAAAACACAAAAAAAAAAAAAAAAAAAAAAAAAAAAAAAAACGGCACCGAGGACACCACCGGGTTTTAAGTTCCGACACCTGCCCTGTCTTCCCCTCCCGGTTTGGCCTTCAGAAGGCCCTGCTGGTCCAGCTCCGGGTTCGCCACCATGCGGATGCGGCAGGCCTCTGCCGGGCAGACCCCGAAGCAGGCGAAGACGGTGGCCGTGGCCCCCGCCAGGATCACCAGCAGCACCCGCAGCTCCTGCCCGCAGAAGGGGTCATTTCACTCATTCCCCAAGAAGCAAGCAACTGGCATCTGTGATGCGCGCAATTGGTCGGAATCCATTGATGAGAACCGGTTCGAGGGGTCCCCATCGGGGCCCCGTCGTCTGTGGGTTCTCCAAAGGAAATGGACTTGGATCGCAAAAAACGAGGCTGGGCAAGTTCTCCTGTTCTAGGGATCTTTCTCTTTGTCTCGTAAATGGAAACTGGCGAATTTGGGGGAAATGACGCTTACGTCGGCTGGGGATCTAGAAGGTAGAAGAGTGGCCTTTGCAAATCACCGCATCTACAATGGTGAGTTTCCCGTGGTTTCATCGTTTATTTGACACTCAGCATCTCAAGCAATCCCTGGTTTGGGTATGTTTTGGGGCGAACCCCTCTCCTTTCAAACCAATTACAAGCCCCCCCCTCCGCGCAGCAAGGTTTTTTCATTTGAGGTGCTGGTCGTTGGATTGCTCGTCTAGTTGGCTGAAATCTCCTCGGCGGGGAAGAGGGAGAGGTAGAGCCGTTTGAAGAACTCGTAGCCGGGGTACACCGTGACGCCGTACCAGAGATACCCCAGCACCGTGGGTTCCCACCCTGCCAGCAGGCCCCGCCAGCCCTCCTGTGACAGCTGCGGATGTAGCTATGGTAAATCTGTGTTCAAGAGGAAAACCGGCTGCTCTGTGAGTGAAAAGGTGGGCTCTGTGGCCGTCGCTGGGGATGACTTTTGGTTCTACTAATTTGTGTGCCTACAAAGATTTAATTTTGCCGGCAATAAACCCCATGATATCAGGAAGTAGATATTGATTTGGTGACAAACTCAATTCAAGTCAAGCTTGTTCCACCCAACCGATGTGAGACCAAGCACTTTGACAGCTTGTCGCATCGTGGTAAACGCACCTGCCGTAAGGGACACAGGCCTGTGTTTTGCGGCGGGTGTAGAACTGCACACGCAGACGCATACTAGTACGGCCAAGTGTTTTTTGGCGCTGCGCAATTGCTCCGAACAAATGGCTCCGCCACTAGTGGAACCCCCAATTAACGAGGACGCCCGAAGTGGACCTAACGAGCACAACTGTTCGAAATTATGTGGAACACGGTCACAATGGCTCTTTCTCTACTCATGGACTGGATTGGAGAACAAACTCGGAACTTGCAGACCTTAGACACGCCAGAACTCCTTAGATGACAGGGGACTCCTTTGGTATCACGGAACCCCTTTCATGGAGAAAAAAAGCAGCCATAAAACGTGTTAAAAACTCCGGGCAAAAGCCTTTAGCTTCAAATCCACAGTCGCTCCTCTTTTTGGATCTGGACCGCCCCGCTGATCAGGCCGCTGTAGCTGCCGGGCGAGGTTTGGAGCCTTGTCTTCACCACGTCCAGCGGGATCACCTGGCGAAAATGCAATGCCTCACAGTCGAAGCCCAAGGAGCAATATAAGGGGCTGCTTTCTACTAACCTGACTTTCCCATGGTCATGGCTTAATTAAATTCTATGATACTCCAACCCCTTCTAAGTAATTTACCTCTTTTCTTACTCCCCTCAAAACTAACTCAGAAGGAACACAACAAGAAAGTCCCAACAAGTCTTCTTTGGGGACTCTGCCCCCCCCCCCGCTCCCATCCACCCATCCCGGCCACGGAGTGGGTGATGGCACAGCCAAAGGCCCCGGAAAGCGCGAAGAGACCAAAGTCCCCGGGCGTCAGGGGCCGCTCCTGGCATTGGTGCCCACGAGAATTGAAACGAGGGTGTTTGGGAGGTACGGGAAGGGGCACTGGAAGCATGCCTGGCTCGCCCGAAATATGTTTGGAAAGGTTGGGCCTTTCATAGTTTTTTAGGCACATGCCGGGTAACACCCCTCAGTGTTCCGATTTCCATGGCTTATGTACCATTCCGTCACGACTCACTTGTCTCAACCAAATGCCTGATAGGCTTCACCGCATGCGTAGTTGACATCCCTGAGGGGGGGGGTTGAAGAAAGATATTGAAGACGAATCATTTAATCAGAGGCGACGAGAACACCGGCAAACAACTCAAAGCACACTCAACGATGGGGGGAAAAAGAGTTCCTCGGGCCACCTATCGCAGCTTCTTGGGGGCACTTTCTGGCCATTCTCACATGGTTCAGCGTCTCTTCAGATCCAATCTTCTTCAGCTATCCTTGCCGAGTGGAAAAAGATGAAGAAAAGATGCCATGTCTTGTCTTGCCCCAAAGTGGCACCGTGCGGTTCCCCAAGGGCTCCCAAAAAAAGATACCATCCCGAATTCACACGTGCTTAACGATTTGTCCAAATCCGCCTAACGGTGATCTTGAACATGGTCTTGCAGTGACGTTGGTTCGGTGGCTACAAATACTCGTCGGATGCTCTCGGCCCGAAGCTCTCCGCGCCTTGACCACGACCTCGGTGCCCCGGGCGCCGAAAACGCTCACCGCGGCACCTCGGTCCATCTCGTCGAAGGCGCTCTTGTAGGGCTGGGCCGACTGCAGGCCCGGGATGACCCACCGGTTCAGGCCCCCGTTCCAGACCTAAGACTCGTTCGTGTTGCTGAGAGGGACCGACTTGTGTGCTGTTTCGCTTTGCAACAAGAGAACTTGAAATTGGTGGCAGGACTTGATAACGAGCCTCCAGGGTTCAACTTTTTGGGCTCACCGCCATAAGGAACTCAGACTCAGCTTGGCACGTGTATTCCGACGGAGAGCTTGCCACTGGAAGAGAACAAACGCCCTGGAAAGAACAGGTTCAAATTGTGGAACCTTGACTAATATGGATAAAGTCAAGGAAAGTAAATGTTTAAAAGGTTAAAAGGTCGGGGTAAGTGAATATTCATCCACAAGCCACCTTCTTTACAAGAGGAATCTCCAAATTAGCTGGATTGTGTCTTTCTTTTTTTTGTTGGGGGGTGATTTCTGATCCCAAATAGATCCTTAAGGAACCATGCTCAAACAAACAAGACAGGAAACCGGGTGGGAAGAAATGGAGTACTCTACCCGGATACATAGGTAGCACCCTCTTAGCTTAACCAAACAGGTCCCTTTGAGAGAGGGGTAAGAGAACCACTTTCTGAAGATGCTCTTTGGGATAACTTCATTCGGCCTGAAATACAAGCCGAGAACTCCCAAACCCGAGATGGACAAATCGAAAGCGGATTCCCACGCCGCGCTTCCTATGCGGACCTGCCCCAAAAGGGCGGTATTCAAAAAAAAGGATTCCAATTCAGCTCAGAGACCGGGTATTGGGTATTCGGGAGCAGCCTGGTGGGGTCCATGGCCAAGTAATCCTCGCCGAAATCCCACGGCGTCCCGGTGTGGGTCAGCCACTTGGTCCCAGGTGTAAAAATCACGAGAACGGCTAACATTGTAAAGAACCAGTCGAAAGATATGGTACCATGATCATCTCTTCCTTCCGCTAAGTACAACCCCATGGCCTGAGAGTAGACATGGCCAGCACGACCTGGAGTCTCAGAAGTTGGGACCACGTCTCGTTTCAACCGCCTCACCACCTCTTACACCGTGGCATTGTCCAGTTCATGCCCTTTTTGCATTTGCTCCGCGGTCACAACGCGCTATCAACTTCTGTGTGTCGCTTGATGTCAAGTAACAGGTTCGCTTTTGGGTGGCAGAAAGTTGGACATCCTGCTGGGCTGAGGCGCAAAGCAGGTGAAAGTCGAAGACTGTACCAACCTTGAAATAATTGCAAGGAGCGAGCACTGCGCTTTGTGGCCTTGATTCACGCAAAACATGCGTTGCATTTTGGCAGATGAAGCCATGCCTCACCGTCTCGCATTCACCCAACCCTTGACGCCACTGGGGCCTGATCAATCCTGAGGGGACAAACACACAAACAAACAAACAAACAAACAAACAAACCAACCAACCAACCAACCAACCAACCAACCAACCAACCAACCAACCAGCCAACCAGCCAACCAGCCAACCAGCCAACCAGCCAACCAGCCAACCAGCCAACCAACCAACGAGCAAACCAACGAGCAAGCAAGCAAACTAAACACAAGCCTCCAAGCCACCTCTCCCGCCTTCCGAAGCTTCTCCCCCTTGACCCAACCTCTCCGAACCTCTCACCCCCCGGTCCGATAGGGCGGGGGAGAAGACCGCCTGCAGGCGGCTGTCCAGCCCCAAGGTGCCCAGCAAGTTGGAGAGCAGCTCCAGAGGCTGGTCCTGGTCAGCCAACAGGCTTCAAGGGTCCCGGCTGGAACCCCAAGACCATCCCTTTAAAAAAAATGACGGGTTCAGATAGGGGAAATCACCCAAATGGACCGAGAAGAAAGGAAGGCATCCCTTGCGGCTTCCTGGAAGGGAATCCCTAGTTTCATTCCCAAAGCCCCTGTCGGCTCCTGACTGGGCAAACCTTCTTGAACAACAATTTGCTGAAGAGAATTGGGAATGAACCGCTGGAAAAAGGGAAACAAATGGAACGGCCTGAGCCCAGAAAGAGTGAACATTCAAAAGGGGAGGAAACAAGAAACTCGTTCTTTCTCATCAAGGGAAATTGCTACTACATGCTCCAGCCATATATTCCTTTCAATCTGGCACCAACCTGTGGATAGATAGATAGATAGATAGATAGATAGATAGATAGATAGATAGATAGATAGATAGATAGATAGATAGATAGATAGATAGATAGATAGATAGATAGATAGATAGATAGATAGATAGATAGAGAGAGAGAGAGAGAGAGATAGATAGATAGATAGATAGATAGATAGATAGATAGATAGATAGGATAACATACAGCCGTGCCTGTTCAGGTGACACTCTCGAAACTACCCTTCAAAAAAACAGGGTGAAGAAGGGCGTGCAGCGACATACTGGCTGGGCTGTTTGTGGGTTAGCCCTCTTGTTGCAGAAAACCCCACAAAAGGTCCCTGGTCCCCAGTTGAATCTTTAGCCCCCCAATCAACCCCCACATGTCCCCGTGTTAAGCTAAAGAATCCCCACGTCCATTTGGAGACTGTGCCTCCAGCAAGGTAAAGGCCAGCGCCAGCTGCCGCCGGCTCTCCTCGCTGGACCCGTACCGGTCCACCAGCCGCTTCAGCAGCCCCGACTTCCTATCCAAATCCGGCGAAAGAGTCAAGCCCTTCGGCTGCTCTTCTGCTGTTCCGTTGGTCGGTTGGTGGGTTGGTTGGTTGGTTGGCGGGTGGGTGGGCGGGCGGGCGGGTGGGTGGGTGGGTGGTGTTTGTGGGCGGGTTGGTTGGTTGTATTTGGTTGGTTGTATTTGGTTGGTTGTATTTGGTTGGTTGTATTTGGTTGGTTGGTTGGTGGTTTGCTTGTTTGGTTGTTTGGTTTGTTGGTTTGTTGGTTGGTTGGTTGGCTGGCTGATTGGTTGAGGAGATCCCACTGCCATTTGGCATAAGTTATAAGGATGAATGATTGAGTTTGAACAACCGGAAACCTGAAAGGCACCTTCCGATCCATTCAACTGCCCAACCAAGCACCCCAAAAAATGGCCTCCGCTCTCCCCGATCTCTTCACCCGTCTCCCCCCCGTCCTGCGGCCCTCCTCTTGGTACTTCCGTAGGCCCACCTCCGGGAGAGCAAAGGGTCACGCCAAACCAGACCCCCCCCCCCTCTCCGTTTCAAGGAAACTTCCACACTGTTTCAAGCTGAGGTTTTTCCAGTGAGGGCTTGTCTCCGAGTGGGCAGGAATCTCGAAGTTTGGTGGCTTTCCTTTGGTTTCTCGACGAGTCTAGTTCAAAAATCGTTATATACAGGCTGTCTCAAAATGACAGACTTTACCACTTTCTTGTAAGGGTCAACGACTGGGATTTTATCAAAATGCCCTTCAATTGGAGGTTTAAAGTGAAGCCACCTCAAAAGAACATGCCCCCAATATGGGATTGCCCAAGAAAGTGGTTCAAACACCCAACCTATGTGTTTACAGTTGGGTAGAGGGAATTGCGCCATCTATTCTCGCCTTGGCGCACAAGGATTGCAAGGACCTGCTGGGTATGCGTCAAAGTAAGTGGACCCTAAAAATGAGTGGTAATCCTTTTCCCTTTAAAAAAATGACACCCACATGAAAACCAGGAAGGGAGTACTATCTAAACGAATGACCATCGAAAGGGAACCCTTTCACGAATCTGGGGGTGACTTTTCATCGGCGACCCTTTTGATGGGCATCGCTTAGGTCCAGATTCACGCCCACCAACTACTTTGGAGGTTCCCCGCTAAAGTTCATAGCCAGCTCAGCTGAGCAGCGCCCAAAACTTGACACGTTTGGTTCTACCAACATGATCAAGTTTTATTGCGGCTTGAATATACTACAACCCCCATTGAACAAGGTGGAGCAAGCTAAAAAGACCCATAGGAATCGGTTTGCGCTGCTGAACAGATTTTGGATTCGGGTCTTTCTCAAAATAGGAGAACCCTGAACAAAACCGTGGCTTCGTTTTGGCTCCTTCTGAGACCAACCAAAACAGGGTAGCCTCAGAAAAAGGACACATCTAGTTCTCTGTCTTTGAAACCAACCGAAAGAGGGTAGCCTCCAAAAACGGACACCTATTTCTCCGGATGCGGTGGATTCCGTTTGAAGCCCCAACCAAACAAAAACGAAGAGAAAAACCGGCGAGGGCCGTGCCGGAGGGATCGATGGGACCTCCACGGAGGCCGCGTAGTCCGCGAAGATGTCCCGCAGCTTCGCGGCGCGCTTTCGCAGCCGCGCGGTGCCCGGGGGGCCCTCCAGCGTGGCATCCACCGCCGGCACCACCTTAGGGGGGGCGGGGGGGGTGGCGTGGGTGGCTCCCTAAGCCCTTAAAAGACACCAACAGCCAAGCAGACAAACAGACAGACAGGCAAACAAATTCAAGAAACAGGCAAGAACAAAAGACCACCCAAAGGTATCCTAAAAAAAAACAGAAAAGATTCCCTCCGACCCACTAACATGCAACCCACCAGCAATGCCCTTACAGAGGAAACGAGGAAACTGGTCTTCTGGGTGGGTATGCTGAAAGAGATACATGCCCCGCAAAACAAGAGGGTTGGAGTTGAACAAAGGGGCTTGGGGCACCCTCTCACTAACGTTGGAAGGGCTTGGAGGACTTGAAGTCCTCGTGACGAAGCCCGAGTCAACAGGCGCAAACAAGGAACGTCGAATCCGCGCCTTTATGCGTTTGGCACCGTGACACTCGTCCTGGCTAATACCGCGTCTCCCACGCTGGCCACGAATGCCGACCTCGACTCCTTTTCCCAAGCTGTTTTTCTATTGGCAGAGTGGTTAAACGCTTGACGCTCTGAGGGTCAAGGTTGTGGACTCGTTGTGGAAGCCGGCTCAAAACTTGGCACGGACCAAGGCACCAACCGCAACCCAAAAGCACGAACGCTGGTTGCGCAAGAGCTGGCCATCACACACGTAATCCCAAAGGGGCACTCAGGCAGCATTCCGCAAACAGAAGCAAAAAACGTGGATCCCTGCTGGCTGGCGATTGATCTTGAGGCTTGTGGCCTTGTCACGGCGCATCAAACAAACACCTGCTTTCGTTGCCCCACCCCGACGACCGAGGCTCGTCGTGGTTTGCCCTCGGCAACTTTCGGAAAACGTCACGCCCCCAACGCTCCACAAGTCGCCAGCGGCTCCAAGAAAAGCGCGACAGCTTCCGAAGCATCGGCGGGCCAGCCTGAACGCCACGGCAGCTCGACCCCAACACGCCGCCGATGAGAGAAGCGCCACACGCAGCTGCCGTCACTCCGCGCTTCCAAACTAGCGAAATGATCGGTCCACGATGGGCTCATCACACTCGCCCCGCCTGTCGCCGGCCATGCACCGACGCTGCCGACGCCTTGCGTCAGACCAAGTTGGCTCGATTCTGAGCACCTTGACTCCTACAGGACTTACACTAGCCAATCACCACCAGAACGGACGGTGTTAAAGGACATTCAGCCAAGAAACCTGGGAAGCGTCGCTGCTCCTCAACCTCTCAATCAAGCCAGTCATGTAGTAGTTGCCTCAGTCACAGGCGCTGGTACGAAGACACGAAGCTTGTAATAACAGCTTGTGCGACAGAATGCTGCAAAGCTTCCACGCAACACCTCCCATAGCACGATGGCTGTTTGGTCGGAGTGCCAAAATGGCTCTTCGGCACTGGGGCCGGGATAAGCGCACAAAGCCCACTTCGGCGGAGGCTGGAAGATGCGGCGCAAAGGCTCTTCGAGGCCGGAAAGTACAGCGCAAAGGTTGAACCCGAGGTGGCGGCACTCGCCTCGCTTCAAACGAACCAGCAACGCGTTTATTGCAAAGCGGTGCCAATTCACATCAGCGCCGGCCTCCATGCAGTCCAGCCACTCGTCGTAGAGCCAATCCCGGATCGGCACACTGATCGCTCGGGCAATCACTGACTTCTCTTTGGCCGTCAACTTCTCTTCGGCGCACGGGGTACGTAGTGTGATGGCTCTTTGGTGCGGAGGCCGGGATACATAAGCGCGATGGCTCTCCGGAGGGCCCTTCTGGATATACAGCGCGAACGCTCTTCGGCACGGAGGCCGCGATGCACAGCGCGATGGCTCTTCACCAGCGCGACGGTCTTCGGCGCAAAGGCCGAAATACAGAGCGCGAAGGCTCTTCGGCGCCGACGCCGGATACACGGCGTGATGGGTCTTCGCATGGAGGCCGGGATTTACAGCGCGTGGGCTCTTCAGCACGGAGACCGAGCACGAAGGCTCTCCGGTCGGGTTGGTTTAGGGTGGGTTGGTTTCAGCTTAGATGGTCAGGGTGGGTTGGTTTCAGCTTGGATGCTCTAGTGTTAGTTTAGAATTGGTGGTGTAGGGTTGGCTTCGGATTAGTTTAGTTCGGGTTTAGGGTTGATGATGGTGCCGTTAATTTTTGCTTAGGGCTGGGATCGGTTTGAGGTTGGTTAGGGTGCGGTTTAGGCTGACTCCGCTTCGGACCTGCGCAGGGTTGGTTGGGGGTTGCTTGTGGTCGTTTCGGGCGAGCGTATGATTGGTTTAAGGTTACTGCAGGGTTGATTCATTTTGTGGTCGGTTTGAGAGCTTGCGGTTGATTTGGGGTAGGCTTGGCTTTGGCTTTTGAGTGACTTTTTACAGGTAGCTTTGGACGGTTTACGGTCGATTTAGGGTTCGTTTACCAGGTGGGTTTACAGTTGGACTGGGGCTGGATTTAAGCGACTTCATAGTTACGGTTGCCTTTGAGCATGCTAAGGGTTGGCGAAGAAAGCAGCTTGGGGTCGGTCTAGGGTTGGTGAAGGTGGGTAAGAGTCGGTTTAAGGCTAGTGAATGAGCACAGCTTTCTTCTTCCAGATGCTATGCCTCTCCGTTCATTCACTTACACCTTGTTCATTCACGTCGTTCGGAATCTTATGGACGAAGTAATCTGTAAGCGAGTGAAAAGAGCTGTTCCTCCTCTCTTCGTTACGTCGGTTGATCTCAGAGTTAATCCTCGTTCACGGTCAATGACCAATAGATAGATGAATGAACGATGTTCTTTCTATCTTCACTCGTTCTTTCATCTCTCGGTTCCCTTCTTCCTACCTCATTCTTCATCTCTTTCATGTTGCGGGACATCCGCTATCCCAAAGGCAATAAAGAGAATGAGGTAGGAGATAGAAGGGAATGAAGAACGAAGTGATGAATGGGGCTGTCTTTCTCTTGTCCCATCACCTGCCATTGAATGCAGGAAATTGATGGGTGAGAAAGACACAGCCCGCTTCTCTCTCTGTGGCTTAGGGGGGCTTTGGCTTCAGGTTGCATTTATGGTTGGCTTAGGGTTGGTTTTGCGTATGTTCATGGGTTGGTTCAGGTTGGTTGATACACGGCGGGTTCAGGGATGGTCCAGGATAGCTTCGGGTCGGCTTGGGGTTGGCTCAGAGCTGGATTAGGGGGAGATTCAGGGTTGCTTAGGACAGATTGGCTTGGCTTGAGTAGAGATTTGGCCAGGGTCGTCTATGGGTCGGCTTAAGGCTGGTTAGGGTGGGGGTTTTGGAAGGACCATTGTTAAATTGCAGCGTAGCAAGGCTTAAAAGAAGTCATGAGGTTGAAATAGAGGCACCCGAAGCTCAAAACAAGCGCAATCCAAGGTTGGAAAAAAGCCTTCCCGTGCGAATTACAAGTGTCTGCAAGGCTTAAGGTTAAAAACACGTCGCACAAGGTTACCAAAAACAACTCAAGGATTTAAAGAAGTCGTCCAAGGTTGAAGAAAGGTTTCTATATAAGTAGAATTGGTAAACTCCTTGGTGGACAGCTAAGATGGACCAATAGCAAACAACCAAATGCATCACACGTGTAGTTCAAATGTCAAATGCACGAAAAAAGTTCTCGGTTGGAGACATAGCAGTTGTCAGACTGACAAGAGGGGGAAGGCAATACCGAAAGGATCTCTTTGAATGAGAACAGTTAAACCGAAAAGTCATTTGGATTCTAGACGGGGTCGATTCCGGATTTTGACACATCCCAGCAAGGCGCCCTTTGCACCCTTTGGCAGAATCCAGTCATACCTGCCATGGTCAAATCTCATGGCTAAGGTCTCATAAACCCTGATTGTCTTCCTTTTTCCGGGGTTGGTTAACCATCCCTTCCAATCTACGTGTGGGTCATTGCGCATGTGAGCTCTTCCCCAGCCTCCGTCTGCCACCACGTCCTAGAGCCCTTGTCGTAGTTCAGCAGGATCCGGGACAGGTACACGATGAAATCCTTGGCTTCTGTCTTATTGGGGTCCCCCAAAACGGGCGGCGTCCTTCTGGCTTCCCTTTGACCCCCACTAGACGCACCCGCATCTGCTGCAAAGCGGTCAAGAGCCTTTTCTAACATGCAGACTCTTAGAGAGTTTTGTGTGCTGCTGGTAGGCGCCCCATGAATCAAATTGGGCAGAAGAGTCTCTGGGAAAGAAAGCGTTCTGCCCAGGGCAAGCTATACGGAGATGATCATGTCCCCCATTTAGAAAGAATGGGAAAGGGATCTCCACAAGCGAGGGCCACTCATGGCATCCGGAGCCAATTGAAGCATTTGCCCAATGTGAGCGGGTTTCTGTCGCACCCAGCCAGGGCGATTAAAAAACCCCGTCAAGCAACTATTAGGAGCGATTGTTTGCGCAAACCTCCAGTTGGCTTTCCTGTCAGGAGCAGAAAAGGGGTGGTTTAAACACAGGCCCACCAACTGGGTGAAAATCGGAAAGACGTGCCAAATGCCAGTGGAAGAGTCCACGGACCACTCTTTGTCTGTCTCAAAGCGCTCAAAGATCTGTTCTGTCCTCAGGGCACGACTCGAGCAAGCCTGTAGCCTGGTAGGCTTGGACCAAAAATTTGGTGTAAGCAACCAGATCCTGGACTCCTTTACAGAGGAAACCAAAAGAAGTTTGCTCAAATAATAGGTGGTCAAACATGATTGAACATGTTTCAAGGGGTTGGCCCAGCCCTCCCTGGCACGCGCCTTCGGCATGACCCCCAATGAGCATGTTTAGACCCATCCCGCTATTGCACAGGGCCATTCTAAGCATCTTCCCCTCGCGTGTTCGGTAATATGTGTGGTTAGAAATAAGCAGCACTACATCGTGGATGCCTTGGAAAGGCCGCATGCATTTTGAGGGCAGCGCTTCAAAAGCACGAACCACTGCGGGGGGGCTGAGGTCCACAGTTGCTTGACACGGGATCAGCTATCATGGTCGAAAATCCTTACTCGAGGATTGACAATCCCTGGATTCCGCACGCTCCTTTTTGGCGCAATCCCTATGAACGGGTGCTGGCATGCAGTCCTCAACTCAAAACAAACCTCCTCACACTCGGCCCAGTTTCAACCACCGGGTCGAATCTTCTCATCGTTAAAAACCTGCCAAGCGGCGCGGGCGCCTCATCGATAGGCAGCCAGGACAGCGACTGGAAGCCCTCCGCACGCACTGGCACTGGCGAGCCGAGGCCCGCGAGGCCGGCGGCCAGGCCCGCCGCACGGCGGGAGGCGGCGAGCGCGGTGGCAGGTCGCCTCGCGACGGTGTGAAGTTCTGAAGGGGAGATGTGGACCAAGTTGGAGGGCATGTTTTTATTCAAGCGGTAAACATATGCTTTTCCGAACAAAACTCCAGTTTCCACGTAATTCGCAGTTGGAGAGGATCTACCCCACCTACCCCACCGAACCCATCAAAAGATCCGTACTGTTGTCACCTGCGACCGGAACATGATGGAACAAATTGCGGGGCCGGGTCAACTTTGCATTTGTCAAAACTAGGGATCCCTCATCAGTCTTTACACACACCCACACACCCTGTTTGGAAAGCTCGGATCCGGACAGGTTTAGCTAATAGAAACCCCTGTTTGCCTGGAAGGACGGCAACGGGTGCTCCCCCGGCCTGCGCCACAGGGCCCTCGCGACAAGCGAAAGCCCCACGCAGCTCGCTGCGCGTGAGAAGGCGCTGCAGCCGCTGAGCCGCCCGGGCGCACTGGGCTCGAGCCCACTGAGCCTGGGCCCGGGCCGTAAGCGCCGTAAGGGCCGTAAGGGCGGCTCGTGGGGCGCCGTGGCCGGCTGGCACAAGCCGGCCATGGCGGCCTTTTTCTAAAAAGGCTCGAGCCAAAGGCTCGCAGGTTGCCTGCAATGCATACGTGCATGTGGACGAGACCGCTCAGGTTTGGGTGAACATCCTCAAAACCTGTACATTCAGCATTGGTTCTGGCGAACAAAACAAAATAGCGGAGCTTTCCTAGGGATGTCCCTTTGAAACACCAAAAAAGCCTGGTACTTCCCGTCAAAACCCACAAGAAAAACAAGAGCTTCCTGTAAAACAACCAAAAGCACAGGCTTCCCTTAAAAAGGACAGCCCCCACCTCTCTCGGTCAAATGCTATCAGGCTTCCCGATGCCTCCGCTGAAGCCGCGGCCGCTTTCTTGAGGCACCGCAGCGCCGGCCGGAAGCTGCCCATGTCCTGGCAGTTTAGCGTTTCAGTGACCAACGCCACAAGGATAGAACCTGTTGGCCCCTGGACTACGAAAGAAGGTGGCCATTGGTTTTAATTTCGAAGCTACCCTGCATTTTGATGTTCCCATACACCGAAATGGCAGGGTACAACCCACATTTCTGGGAAATGGCTGTAATTCACCTTGGCAGTTCGCTTGTTTTGTTCCCATACCGAAAAAGTCCCGTGCAAATGAACATCCGCAAGAACAGTTGAGCCTTCGGGTTGCAACGCCGGCTGTTTGCCTTTTTCAGCCTCCGGAGGCGTTTGCCTCTCCAAGGCCAGGGCGCAAGTGTCCATGCGTGAGGGAAGTTTCCTTCTTTACGGTTGCCAGTACTTGGGCCTGTCACAACACTCAAGATCACGCAGGCCTAGTCTTAATGACTTGAAGTGAGCCTAGCCAGAGCGCCCGGCAACATTCACCCTCTTCAGACCATGAAACATGAAACAAGCTGGCTGGCCAAGGGGGACAAATATCCATGTTCATAGACAAATGGCTTCAACCTTCCAAATATTCTCTACAAGTGAATTTGGTGATATGTCAAACTCGGGAGCTTTTGTTGGTGCATGAGGGTTCTCCCTTCAAGATCACCCCTACCAAAGGAAACTCACCAGGGCGCAAAAGGTGATGCTGGAAACCAACAAAAAGAGGAACAGCCTGGACATCCAGACACAATTGAAAGCCAGCTGTTTGAAGGGCGCCGATGCATTCCTCAGCGACCCCCCCCCGATGCGTTCAGTCCAGCCATGCTTTGCCAGCAAGGGACCACATTGACTGCTCGCACCTCAATCCCCGAGGGAGCGCGTTGCGAAATGGTTGAACGAACAAATGATCTAAGGAACAAACAAACAAACAAACAAACAAACAAACAAACAGACAGACAGCAAACAAACAAACAAACAAACAAACAAACAAACAAACAAACAGACAAACAGACAGCAAACAAACAAGCAAGCAAGCAAACAAGCAAATAAACAAACAAACAAACAAAAAAACAAAGCAAAGCAAATCAAAGCAAATCAAAGCAAAGCAAGGCAAAGCAAAGCAAAGCAAAGCAAAGCAATGCAAAGCAAAGCAAAGCAAACAAATAAACAAACAAACAAACAAACAAATAAAGAAACAAAAATACAAACACTGTCCCAGGACTTGCACTTGAAAAGACTCCGATGTTTAGAATGATACGAAAAGCGAGGCGGAGAGGCACCCGAGAGAAGATATCCAAAAAAAGCTCTCAGCAAGCGGCGTGCGAGACCACCAACAACCCAAACTGTCCAACTGTTTGATGTGTCGCCAGCGATTCCAATCGGCATGGTTGTTACCGAGGGCTTGAAAGTGCACAACCCGGAATCCCAACAAGTGGAAACCGGAATCCCTAGACTAGGCCAACTTGCTCACCGGCGCCAGAGCGGCCGCCTTGTCTTTCTTGCCTGTCCCAGGAATTCAACTGAAACTAAGAGCCCCTTTTGTGACCGTTCTTGGAGACAACACATTTAAGCGCCCAAAGCCCATTGACTTTCGTTCTAGCACGGTTATCAATACATACATACATACATAATATATATATATATACTGTTAGCTTTACATACCCGTTTTTACAGTCCGTGGAACCACGCACTAAGATAGCACATAGGAATCGGTTTTGGGCACTCATTCGGCAGGAGGCGTCCGTCCTTGGACTGTGACCAAGCTGTCAAACATCCCACCAGGTGGGGCCGCGCGGTGACTGCGAAAATAGGGAGAGAGAAGGCCAAGAACCTCTGTCAGCTTTGGGAAAGCATCCAACTAGCCACCTGATGTTGACTCCATTGATACCTCCGAGCCGGCCAGTCGTCCATCAGACGATTCCCCTAAGATTTCAATGACACAACCACCCAACCAGAAACCGCAACCCCCGGACAAATGGGGAGATCATCCATCAGGGGTAGCGTAGCTCCGCCTACCGATGGAACGTGGCAGGTCAGACATATATCTTTCCTTGCCTCAAAGGGCGTGAACCATCGGACTCTCAGCCTGAGTGATTCACTCATGCCGTAATTTAGAGCAGCTGCCGGGAACTTGTTGGTTCTTCCATGGCGTGAGGCAAATGCCTCCAAAGCGACACCCTAGAGGTCTGTGTTTCGCGAACCTGGGTCACCCGCCCGCACACGCTCTGGGGTTCCAGCTTGCCCTCCACCTAGGCGGAAACGGATGAAAACCCGTTCAACGCGGTGTTGTAAGGGACGAGGGAGGCAAAAAGAGGTAACCTTCATGAGGGGACCCACAGCCTGTGTGTACTGCAATTGGGAGTTGCTGAGCACTCACCATCCCCGATGTCTCCACCCTGTGACATGCAACGGCATACTTCCTGAATATAGATTCAAAGCTACTTAGCCAAAACCGTCCAACTGGCTTGGTGGATTTACCCCAACTCAAAACGGTCTAATTGCATTGGCCCGCTTCCCTGCTCCCTTAAGCCCCCGAGCTGCCAGGACCTCGCAAGCGAGCTCCTTTGCGCCTCAGACGAGGTCTGCTGGCTCCAGAATTTTGAACCACGCAAAAAAATATGTCAAGAGCCTGGAGTAGAAACATCCCTCGATCGGCTCCGGTGAATGGTTTTTTGATCACCGAGAGATGGGACTTTGGTCTCGTGCCCTCTGAGTCACGGGGTAGATTGCCGTTTTTGTCGAATTCCTGTTACCTAAATCTGCAACCCTGGACATCTAGGTTCAATTTGGACAGCGCATCCCAGAACAGGCGAATCTACAGGAAGCTGCCCAAAACCTTTGACATTCAGCTGCGTAGAGATGTTCCTGACCAGAGTTTGGCCTTTTCTTTCAGACTTTGGCGCTCGCAACTTGCTGACAAGGAGCCTGGGTCACATTTGCGTGAACCCACCTCTGGCACGTTCTGACATGGCAGGTTTCAAAGGACCCAACCGAAGAGTCGGGCATTCATCGCGCTCGCGGGAACCTTTGCCACCCGGAGAACCGCCCAGTTCCAAGCCCAGTTCCAAAGCCGGCGCCTGCGTCCAGTTGCCACAGCGCCTTCCCCAGAGGCAGGAGCCTCAGCCCGGAGCGCCGGAAGCCCGGCACTGAGTTCCTCGCCCCAAACCAGGAAAGAAACCTGCCCAAAGGAAAGAAACCTGGAGATTGCTCCTTTCCTCCTTTCCTCGATTGACGTAACAGACATGTGCTCGTCCCTGATTGCCAGCCAGTCACGGAGTGATGTGCCCGTGTTGTTTCACCAACTCTCCGATGGCACGAGGAATACTCAAAAGAGATACACTTGCAACCCAGAGGGCTCCAAGCCCAAAAGAAAAATTGTCTAATGCCTGGTGTTTCACCATTCTGTTTCTCTACTTGCACATTCACGGACCGACCGCACGGTGCAACTATCATGAACAAAGGATTGCCACTCAATTAGAAGCTGCCTGTCTCTTCAGAAGGACAACCGCACATGTTTGGATGGTCAAAGCAATTTCATTGAGTCCGGCTGAATCAAAACAGACATGCCGGGCAGAACTTTTGAGGCCATGTCCAAAACGAACGCATCACCTGTCCTTGCTTCCAAAAGGAGTGCAAGGAGGCGCCGTCTGGTTTCGGTCAAACCCTAACATGGGTCCTGTGCCCTTGGTGTCCCAGCAACAGGGGGTCTATCTGTCTACCATTTTGAGAACCCCCCCCCCCTGCAAGCATCGCCAAGAAGAATACCGGCATGTCAAAAATTCGCCGTGGATGATCTGCCCACCTGAAGAGCCCGAACATGAATTCAATGAGTCCAAATATGAGCTTCTTCAAAGTGCTGCCTGCTGCCTGCCTAGCCACAGCTGCCCTTCCTTGCCACGAAAAGCTTGGCCCCTCATGTCAAGAACTTGGAGCACAGGACGAAATTTCACGGTTGCCCAAGTTGCAGCCAAAACCAGGGGTCCTTGCCCCCAAAGTAAATTCCTCAGATGGCGGTTGCCATGCTAGTTGGAGTAACTCCATAGAGGCCCTAAGGCTACCGCTCCTCGCGCGGCAAAGCAAACACCAGTGGGCGCAAGCGCTCCTAACCCGAGATCTTCAAAGGGCCATCGGCCCCTGAAGCCCTCCCGACTCCCGCGGCTGTGAGTTGCACAAGTTGGACACTTCCGATTTTATGGTGTCCATCCCAAATGCCACGATCCAACCAGAACCTCTTGTCCTTCGGCTGACACTTGCAGTCTCCGGCTGTGCCAAACAATCACCCAAGAGCTCAAGAATTCCGTAGATGTGTGTTTGGCATGCTCGCCGGGAGAAAGGTAAAAGGCAGGGCAACCAAAACTGGCACGAATCACGGGATCATTTATTTCGCCTTGAAGAATATATGAGATGGTCAGTGCAACTATGAACCAAAAATAGATTGGCAGACTTCGCCGCCATTTCTTGGCACCTTCAACTCAGGTCAGTTGATTGCTGGGCTCTTCGCTTGGGTATGAGGGTGCAGCTTCCTCCCCGGGAACCAGCACCCACTCTGATGCCAAGGCCCGTGTTTCATCTCCACCGCACTCACGACTATCAGACTATCATTAGACTATCATTCACCTAGGACCTCATGGAGCTCCCCTCGCACGCCCGGTCCCTCGTTTGTACCCCAACCCTCCCCTAGCCCACAGGGCCGTCCATTTCCCATCCCAGCCCTCAGTCCAACTCGTCTTCGTTCACGGTGCCGCCTGCAGGCCGGGTCGGAAGCTTGCTATTGAGAACGCACAAACCAGCAGAGACCTTCAAAGCGCTGACAAACGGAGCAAAAACAGGGTGCAAGCATGATTGGAACCAAAAGGGGCGGGTAAGAATGATGAAAAGTCTCCTCCGGCAAAGTAGCAAGCCCTGAAACGGAAGCTCTACCCATCGGCATCAGTTGGAAAACGACAGTCCGCCCTGCGCAGCTACTTCTTACGAAGTGGGATGAACAAAGCAGAGGGACAGCACGGACAACGACCGTAAAAGCGGATGACTCGACCCGCTTAAGGATCGGTAGGCTCTGTTGGTGTTGACACTCTGCACTGGCAGGGCCACTGGTGAAGCCATGGCGCTTTGGAACCCATCAGAGCCTTCGGCCACTCTCTTCAGCTGCTCCAGCGCCATCCGCAAAACTCGGCGCCCAAAATGAAGGGATGAATGAAGGATTCTTGGAGTCAATGTTGCAAGCAAGTGTTTGCTGTTGTGAGGGGTGGACACGTAGGTTCTTTACAGCCAACTTCTTGTAAGACAGGGTGTTGCTTGTTCGGGGTTTGGCCTCAAATAGCACTCGGAGGGTGCGGCAAAGGCAGGTTGCAAAAAGACCTGGGCACCTCTGCACGGCGACAGCACCCTCGTGGTTTGCGCTTCAAACTACTCATTTGGTAGATCGCACAATCACCTTTGCGCGGGCAAGTAAAAGGGGATGACTAAACCAAAACGCCACTCCGCTCGTTGAGATTGCCAACCCGAAGTGGCAAACAAGAGCCAACTGAACTTGTGAGTGGGCACTCGCTGCCTGGGCAATGCACCTGCTCAAAAGCAAGGTTCTAGGACTGGTCTGTGTCCCTTAGTTTGGTTGCCCTGCCCCATCCAACGTTCGGGTGATACACATGCGAATCTCCTAATGGATATCAATAGGACAGGCTTACTCCTCTGGGTGCATCCTTGATGGTACTCTTTTGGTGGGTTCCCATCTCATGATCAGACTCAGAACCACTGCAAGCAAATGCATTGAGCCCTTTTTGGGGTGCCTTGAGAAGGAAGGCGAACGGAAACTACATTCAGTTTTGGCGCTTCACCCCCCCCCTGTTGGGCTCAACCCATCTGCGGGCGATCATGACTCAGCGACCAGCCAAGGTGAAGGGCTCGCATGCAGTCAAGGCACAGTCTGCGGTGGTTCCAGGTATCTGTGGTCTGAGCCAAACACATGAGCCCGAGATCCCGAGATGAAGCCGAGAAGAAACGAGCGAGAGCATGCGATTTGAGCCAACCTTGCCCCCAAATGTGGTCCAAATCGTACAATCACGTCGAACATCAAAACCTTCAAATGGCCCCAAAACTTTTGGCACATGACCGATCTTCCAATGAATTTCGGGGAAAAAACCTCCCAGACCTACACAAGCTACACGGGCCGATTTCTGCCCCACAGTGTCTCATTGTGTCTCATCTGACCAACAAAGACGGTGCAACAATACAGAGTCCAGTTAGCTTGCACCCAGCTTGCGGGAACTAGTGAAGTGTTCCAGGCTCTTGACCACATGCAGATCGCTTGCAAAAAGCCGACGACCCTTGCTGGTTCGTGAGGAAATGAGGGAGAAACTAAAAAGAACAATATCTAAATGCTTGGCTGCAGTCCCGCAATGCTGCCAAATTGCAACTCTTGTCTATCAATTTGTCTGACTCGGCTTGAGGCTACGCTCCAACGCCAACGGCTCGCTGCAAACCGGTGACCCAAAGGTGCCACGTTGGACCGCTGACAAAGCACGGCCACCGGCACCGCCACGTCAACCTGCACATGCCTTGAAATGCAGGGGAATTTTGCAGCCCCCAAACCGAATCAAAGAGCATTTTGAAGGGAAGTGTTCTTGGATTTGTTGGGATACAAATCTCCCTGTTTTTGGAAGCGAAGCCCGACCCGTTGAATCCTTGAGCCCCATTCAGCAGGTCCCGCTAAACGCGTCGAGCTCTGCTGCTCTCCCGCTGCGCAGCGCGCAGCTGGCGAAGTGCGGCTTGCCACCTGGAGGCAACGCAAGAATGCCTGTGACCTGTTGATCGGGTCTTCGCAACCGGGGTTCATGATGCTACACATATCATTGTCCTTTGGTGCAAGCTGCAACCCAATTATTAGAGCCTGTTGCGGGTTCTCAGATTTTGGCGTGAAGGAGTCAAACGAGAGGACCGGTCGTCCCTCGAAATGGCGGGATTGTTGCATCCTTGAAGCTCGCAAAATAAAGCTTCCCTGTTCTCATGTTGAGAACACCATCGCTCCTGGAAGGGACAATGCCGAAAAAAAAAATCCCTTGTCAGACTGCGCATCGCCGATGGCTGCTCCGCGTTCCGACCGAAGAGATTAATTCATGGTCAATGGAGTGCATCGGATTCGCAATTTGAAAGGAAAACATGGTTGTCCAAAGCCCTCTGTGCATTACTGATCAAGGCTGGACCCCGAGAAGGTCGAATTTCTAGAGCTGGTCTTTGTTCAACAAAATGTGACATTTTTTGGCCCAGCCATGCCTCAAGTGGCCCACAGGGACTTTGCTGTGCTTGATGTTGGCTTGCTCTTCTCAGACCTCCAGTAGAGACACCCTTATTCTGCTTCTGCTTTAAATGATGTGTAAGATGCACCCCCAGACAAAAGGAAAAAGGGCACCACCAAAAGCCGATATAAGTCTTTTCATGGTTCCCAAGTGGCTCCCAAGCTGGGAAATGCCCGCCTGATTCTAGCCAAGCACGTCCCTTGTTTTCCATCGACAGCCCACGTTGCAATGCCGCCGAACTGAGGTGAAAATATCCGCCGTATTCAGTGCTCTGTCCGCCCTAGAACTTCGTCTTGCCTTGGCCCTTTCCGGAACTCCAGCTAAAACATGCCGCGCCTCTGGAGAAATGCATGGGCTTCGGGAGGAACCTGGGTGTTCCTATGGGGCTGCCATTGCCATCAATACTCCAGACAGCTTTCGTGACATGCGGCCAGTCTCTGGCGGCCAGCGGACAGCTCCTATGTACAATCGCAGGCTTGCGCACGGGGTTCCGGGTGCCATAACCCTCGTTTGGCTTTGGTTCTCGGCCTGTCAGAAAAGCTTGCAAGAAAAACAAACACTCGACAGAGGCCTCTTGCAGTACTGGACTTTGCTGGCGGCAATATGTTGATTAGCATCTTGGCTTGGCGACATGTAATCTCAACCATTGGACAGGTGGCCGTTTGACAGCTCCAAAAGAACGGTTGCCCAAAAATACCCGATGGCTCGGTGATCCAGTTCTTCAACATGAGACCCCGCCATGATACATCGGTCTTTGCGCGATAAGAAATAGAACTCAAGCGCACGTGAGTGCAACCAAGTGGCCCCAAGCCTTTGGGGGGGGCATTGATCCGAGATCCGCAATCCGCAAGCTGCCATCTCAATGGAGGTTCGCATGCTGCAGCTTGGCGGCCTGCTACTGCTGAAATTTTCGGAGATAGCCCGAAAACGATATGCGAACAAGAACAAATGTAAACTCTTCTTGCTCGCTCCAAACGATACTCAAGCAAAGTACAATGCTGATAAACTGGGGAACTCAAACTCAACGAAAGGTCACAGGTTTTAAACTGCAATTGATATACTGGGAGTGCAGATTGCAGTCCCGAGGTTGAATGACTTTTAGGTACCTTCTTCCCTGGTGAAAAATGAAGAGACGCCTGGTCCCTTCAAGTTGGAATGAGTCCGCCTCTTTGGCCGGTGAGTTGTCCCTCATGTCAGGAATCCGATGTAAACTCGACTCACAAGCGGCGTCCAATTTGATTAGGGTAGATTCTCCTTGAGCTTAGTCTCCTTGCCTTTGGATTTCTTGGGAGTATGAGGGCCAAAAAAGATGACATCACATAGACCCACATCCAACCGGGGGCCAAGTCCAACATTCTCTGACGAGACGCGCGGCAGTTTTTAGCTTTGGGGGCCATGGACTCTATCGCCTCGCATGAGCGCAGGCCAAAAATTGTCTGATAGTTTCCATGATCCTTTTCGCTATGATCGGTTTCCTCCAAAAAGTACGAGCTGCTGACGCCCAAACGCCTCCAGCACAGCCTTCCGCGCCAAGAGCTGGATATCCCCATCCCCGTGGAAGTCCGACAGCTGCCCTCCAGCACAAGCCAGGTGGCGCACGGCACGCTCTTTTGGCTCCGCTCTTCTCTCTTGAGTGCATCAAACCACCAATTGAGTTCCTGGTCCCCCCTCCCCAACACATCTAGCACAAACAGATTGACCGAAACAAGCTTGAACAAGACACATTGAAAGTTGGGGGCCTTTGCTCTCCCCGCAGATCGCACGGCGCCACCATGACACATGCCCACCTACTTCGAAAAGAAACCCTCAAGGCGTTGCTTCTGCTCGTCCCTCACGACCAAAACCGAAGCATAAAAATCAAAAAGGGATATCTTAGTGCACTTAAAGTTCAGCTTTCTCATTCAGAGAAGAACCTCTTAACGCTCTGCTTCATCCTACCCATTGGCAGTCTCTTTGACAGAAAAGGATCTGGGGTGGGAGCAATTCTGTCAAGGTGCGGAGGATTACGCCCACGCCGGTGTCCTGCACGCTGGGCCAGTCCACATCACGGCCTGAAAGGGACAACCGGAAACGCCCAGAACAACAAAGAATGAATCACTTCCAGTGTCTCTTTTAAGGCTTGGGCTCGTGGGATGCTGGCCATTTACGTGTTTTCAGTGTGGCTCGGAATTACGGCTCTAGTTTCTTAAGGCTTCCCTGAGCCGCGAGCTCCGGCTGTTCCCTCAGAACTGATGACGTTGCCGACATTCTGAGAACTCACTTGCCCAAAGAGCGTGAATATACAAGTGTAACTGCCTGGAGCCTTGACTCCAAGGGGGGAAAAGCAAAGGGTGTGAGGGCGATGATCATGATCATGATTGCGGCAAAGCTGTATTCCAAGAGAGTGGGCAAATTCGGTAATTATAGAACTTTTAGATAAAGGAAGCTCGTTTTTGCTGGGCTTCCAGGCCTGACCCGCCCAGTAACCAAACCCGGATCTCTCAAGAAACCCGCGCATGGGAGACATGTGGAAACTGGCCCGGTCGTTGGGGACCTCGAGGCGAGGAACCATTTTCATCTTGGCTCCCGCACGCTGCATCTTCAAGATCAAGTTGTGCAGCGCCTTCCTCAGATCTTTGAACCCCCCCACAAAGCGCTCAGGGTCAACCCGGGGTAAGGCGGGCCAAATAGGCCGAGCTTACCAAACCTCCCGGCCAGTGCATGCTGGGGGCGCCCATGCAAGGGACATGGCAACTCCATCTTGCAGGAATCCTCAGAGGTTCTTGTTGTTCTCCAACGATCAACTGGCAACTCCCTTTTACTTGAGTTGTGTCTTTGATCATCTACAAGTAGCCGAATTGCCCGTGAAGGTCTAACACTCCAATTCGCTGGCCACCACATAAAACCTGCAAAATACCTCACCCCAATTTTGGACTACGTCCTAGGGGGAAAGGTGACAACCTCCTCCATGACCTCTCAAGAGCACAGTGAGCTTCATGGGCAGCAGCATCCTGCTCCCGACCCAGCCCCTGAGGTGAGCCGGGTCTACGCATCAATTTCGCGTCTTTGAGCAAGCTGGATTTTTTGTGTCACAATCACTAAACCATATCCGAGAACATGCAAGGTGTTATCATCTAGCCCTGGAACTGATGATTTCGGAGGGCTATTCCAGGTCCGCTAGTTGTTCCCTGCCTCCCAAAGCGATTGGAGCCCATCAATAGGCTGTTGCCGAGTTTCTCAATCTCCATGGGGTCTTCCTGGTGCCTTGGCACTTGGGCACGAGCAAGGCCATCTTCTTGTCTATATATATATATATACACATAATTGCATGTATAGGTAGACGGACATGCAAAAAGCAAAAAAAAAACAATGCTTGCGAGCCAGGCTCCGCGCGCTTGCGAATGCCCTTCTCCCAAAAAGAGGGGGGGGGGGGGGGTGAAACGGGAAACCGCCCAGGGGTGCAATCGGCCAGCCCTCTGCGCGTTCACTTCCAACCGGCTTGTTCCTTACCACGGCAATCGCTAAGACAAAATGAGCTTGGCAAGTAGATTGCCTCTAGTTGCTTGGTGATTGACATTTACGGACCTGACTTTGATGGTCGCTGGATAACTGGATTGGCAGCTGGTTGCCTCAACCAATGTGAGGAAAGTCCATCCATTGCTCAAAGGCAGGATCGAACTTCCCCAAAACCCAAAACAGACCAGCACTTCTTTGTTCCTCATCACCATTTCTTTGCTTCCCTTGACCGCAACTTCCCCCAAAACGGCCCAAATGCCATGCATTTGCTTCGCAGAAGCCCCTGTCCAACCACCGAACACTCCCTTGTTCTCAGACAGCCCCCGCTTCGTTGACCCGACACAGCTTCCAACAAGCTTTGACAAAAAAAGACAAGCTGACTGTGCTGCGGCGATCGGAACTCCATTAGAACCCGAACGGGCCAAACCCTCGAGCCTTTCAATCGCCGAGCCGCACCGCCCTCTCCAGCTTCACCGCCGCGGCGGCCGCCGCTGTGCGCCAGCGCTCCAAAGCGCTCTCCACAAAGTCCTGGGGATTCCGTTTCGTGGGGCTCCCTCTGCAGAGAATTGTGTAATGGATTTCAACATCAACAGAGTTTGGCTGGGCTTCTATCCCAAGTGGCGCAGGATTTGGCCCATCCACCCCGCAAAGCAAGAATCATGATTGTAGTACCTAAAACAAATTACCAAATTATTGTGCATGGACAAGAACCATGGCAGGCATCAGTGGAAATTGGTGGTTTGCCAGCCAGTAGCAGGTTTCATCTATCCAACTGGTGCAAAATGTTGTGCATCCACAGGAGTTGGACATCCGTGGTTGCCTCAAGAGTGTTGTTGGGCAATGGAAAGGGTTGGAACCCTGACCACGCAAGTTGCGGATGGTTGGAGACAAGCAGCCGCTGAAGTGATCCTCTCAGAATTGGCAGCCACACTATAAGTCAACTATGCATCAACCATACATCAACTATAGATCACATACGCAAGCA